TCAGAGTTTCTAGGTCCTTTTTGTGTGCTTAAAGAATTTCATACTTTTGTATAAGCTTAGTAATTTTGTCAGAATATATTTTTATTTTAATTGTTCAAAGCTAGTAGTTTAAAGATCATGAGATGCTATTTCAGTATTTAGTTTTTTACTTTGTAAACATTTATTTTAGGAAAATTTTCTTAAAATCTTTATTTGTGATATTCTCTTGCATTGGTTTCCATTTTACATGTTCTTACCTATGCTAGATCTGCTTGCCTATATTCAGTGTTACCTTGTTGTTGTTAGGTGCCGTCGAGTCAAGTGAACAAAAGCTCTGAAAACCCTGTTCTATCCTGTGCCATCCTCACACTTCCTGACACAAAAGAGCCCATTGATGTAGTCACTGCATCAGTCCACATGGTTGAGAGTCTTCCTCTCCCTTCACCGACCTTCCAGCCATCATGCCTTTCTCCAAGGAATGGCCCCTCTTAGCAACATGTCCAAAAGTAGTGAGGCAAAGCCTTATCGTTCTTGCCTCCAAAGAGTACTCCAAGAGGGCTGCACTCTCTCCAAGACATTTTTATTTATTCTTTTGGCCAATTCGATGGCACATAACAACAACGTGGGATGATCTTCTCCAGCAGCACAGCTCAAAGGTGTCAGTTTTTCTTCTGTCATCCTTATTTACTGTCCCCTGTCCAGCACTCAGATGCACAGCAAGTGATTGGAAAGACTATGGCCTAAATCAGACGTACCTTGGTCTTCAAATTGACATCATTACTCCTTAATAATTTGGAGAGGTCCCTAACTGTAGATTTGCCCAGTGCATTGCATCTCCTTATTTCCTGACTGCTAGTACCAAGGGTATTAATTGTAAATCCAAGCATAGTTATTTTCTCTTTCATCTTTTTACCTCTATTATTATTTCTTTTTAGTGTTTAAATTTTTTCCTCCTTTGCACCTTCCCTTTGTCTTTAAGGCACAATGTGTTGCATTAGTTAATTTTGTGTTCCTTCTGGCGTAATGTTATTTTATGGTTTTTTATTTCAGAGTCTTTCTGGAGTTCTTTTACTCATTTTTGAAATTTATTATTTTAATATATGCTGTTCTTATATAATTGGAAAGTCTTTAACTTGTTTTGGAGTGGTAGGTTCCAGTTTTTATCTGTTTTATGAACCTGTTTTTTGGCATGTGTTCATTGTTTAAAGGGTTGTTAATTTTCAATTCTCATATTTTTTTAATGTAAGTTTTGTTATGCATTGATTATGCAAAGGCATTTGACTGTGTGGATCATAACAAACTGTGGCTGACTCTGAGAAGAATGGGAATCCCAGAACATTTAATTGTGCT